GGGGTTCACTTGGCTGTCCCTGAAGTGTTAATGACACCTCTTTCAAATAATAAAAACTCATCGTATGTCAAACATAGAGTGGGGCAGAATTTGAAAAGCGGGCCCCTCGTACGTACAAATCGAAAAGAAAGTATCAGAAATATACGCAAGGATAAAAAATATAATCTAGGAAGGAGGTGGTTGTAAAATCGTAATGGGCAACTGGAATGCAGTGGTGGGTATTTACTTATTTACGAATTTTACATCCACTCGTACAATTCGAATTGCACGTGGGTCTCGTAATGATTCCTTTGATTGAAAATACGTTTGCTCAAGGTGGTACCTTTAGTCTTGAGAAAGATTTGATTTCGAATTTACCAAATTTTCCAGTATAGAAAATGTTATACGTGTACCAACTTCTTACTGAAAAAGAACGCACCTAAAATGCAATAGAATGAAGCGCTTTCAGATAAGAAGCGATTGTGCTAGCAGATAACACCACACTGTTGCTGTTTCTAAAGAACATTCTTGCGGAGCATAAGGGACGAACTCTTTGATATATCCGTACATGTATAAAAAACGTGGCAGAAACTTGGTTTGCGTTAGGTTCGTGCCGGTTTTTGGATTTGACGACTACATCCGGAAAAATTGGGTGGAAGAAAGAGACTTAACAGCAGCGTAATCATACGTAATATTTTTTATCGCGAAAGTTAAATTTATTTCCGAATTACAAGGGAAAACTGTACCGCCAATTCGACGAAATTAATGTCGCGTGTGCTTTTAAATACATTGAGAGTATATTGTTGGCAAGTTACAAATACAGGTTTTCTGAAAGAGGGAAATGTCAAAACTGGTAACGTTTTATACAGCAAAACAAATGAGCTCGACCTTTTCCATCAATACGGAAATTTAAAATCCAACAACAAATTAGTGGACGTAAATCATCTTATTTACTTGTTTGTTTGTTTATTTAATATTTTATTACTGTGTTCATTCCTTTCTTTATTTGTTTATTACTTGCCATTATGGTATGATTTGATTTCGATTTCTATTGATTTTTGTTTTGTTTTATATGTTAAATATTGAACTTAGTTACAGTACATACGACTACAATTATAAACACTGTGACTTAGCCGCCTAACAATATGTACCTACTTATACCTAGTTGAATACACTCAACAAGAAAAAAATGTGCGCGAAATAAAATTCTGTTTACAAATAGCTGTAGGTAATTGGCTGTAACGCTACGAAAAAGCCATAAATGCGAGGCAATTTGAATTTTATGGGGTAAATACCAATTTGGCTTGTTAATTTATATTCATTAGAGAGGACAAAACAAGACAAGTGTAACCAGATACTATAAAAATTGCCATTGTCACTTCGTCGCAAAACGCAAATTGATCGCATCCGACACGTTTTAAATGGAAATCGCTAAATAACGAGTGCGGGGAAATTGAAAAATGAATAAATCACATAAGACAGAACTAAATATTTCCAATAAATAAAAATAAACGAAGAGAGCGTCGAAAGGCATCGCCTACTCTTCGCATGTTTTTTAATTGTTATGGATCAGTAATTAAACAAATAAATTACTAAACGGTCTCCTTCGCCGTTATTAATGATCCCACAACAGTTGCCAGCTATTCGAACGTGGTTATTATGTAATTATCAGTTAGTTTTAATCTTGGGTTAAGCAAACCTTTCAGAACGGCCAACAAATTACTCATGAGTACACTCCTATACAAAACTAATTATCGCTCTTTGTCTTTGTAAATTATGTCTATAGATTCATGAAGTAGGTAATTTGCTTTATGGTTTATCTCTTGTCGACTCTCTTAAAGGATTCGATTAACCCCTTAAATTTGTTACCTGCGCACGTATAAATTTTAAACTTTAATTACTACATTTTTATTAGTTCACGATTTAATAGATACCTAATTTTTTATTCTAATCTATAATAAACCCAAAACTTGTCGTAGATACTTCAGTGCCTATAACAAACAGTTTGCACTCCTACATTGATTGATAATCAACTCACATCAAATAAGTCACAAAAATATATGCGATCGAAATGGTGTCTTCATTTTCCTTTTGTTAACAATAAGTTATAAAGCAATACATATTAACAATAAAAGCAAACAATAACGTCATTATACTGTTATGACTTCATTCAATTTAATTATCTTTTACATTAAGTTGTGGTAAAATCAGATAGTGATGTAAATTTCGTAAAGTTCGAAATTTGGCTATTGTTAAAGGAAGACCACTCTAATTACCTCTTTATTATTTACAATACGTTGAGCAAACGTGAACACTAACTAATTAGCCAGGTAGGCATTTAATGTTACACGAGGTGTATCAAATTCACACCTCCTCGTCATAATTTGACCTGCATAAATTTGAATTTGTTGCTGGTGTGAAAGTATTGTTTAATTGCAGCTGTCTTCGTGTAACAACATTAAAAAGCTCGAAGCGGAGGTACCTAAGAAAGTTCACCTGGCGAAGTCACGGCAAACTATTGGCACGAAAACTGTGAGCAGCGTTCGGGCGATTTCACAATACGGTAACACTGAAACTTTAAAGGTTCTTATCCAAATTAGTGCACTGGCATTATATGAAGGCACTCTAATACGATAATGACATGTAAAAAACGTAATCATACCAGTAATCATATCAGTGGTATACACTGTGTCCAAGATAAGGACCTCTATCATGGGAATCTCGGATACCATGAAAGATACGAAGATGGTCAAATTAGAGAAAAATTGCACAATTAAACATCCATTATCATGCGGTAAAGAAAACCGGAAACTTCCGCTTACTTCCGAAGAATTTCCTGAATAATGAGAAATTTGTTCGATAGGTATGTTCGCACGATTAGAGCGTTGTGCGCGGGTGCACCAACCTGTTGAAACCAACAGTTTCCAACTTAGTTTTTTTGTAGGCGGTACATCGTTCTATTCGTAATAAAAAATGCTATCCAATAGAGTATGTACTTTCTTTACGGGCCATATAAAAAATAAAGTTGATCAGGATTTCTCCGAAATGAAACTTATAAATAGTAACAGTGAGAAAGTGTTTTTTTATGTTCTCAAATAACATCAGGAACAAATCAGCGCTATGGCATTGGGCCACAAGACATTAGGACGCGGAATTCTTTGGAATTGTAGAGGCGGTTAAGACTGCTGAGTTTTAATAAGATTAAAGTCTTATGGAGATTTTTGGTATTAGCAGATGCTGGGCGTGCCTCTGAAGAATTATAATTATTTCGTATAAAAGATGTTGATACCTGTATTTAATTGAGCTATCGGGACAGATAATTCTGGATGGTGTAGTCGTGTAGACACCGCTTGCTATCTGTGCCGGATAGGGGGGGGGGGGGGGGCAAAAGGGGGCAAGTGTCCCGAGCGGCACTCAATAGGGGCGGCAAAAGTCGGCATGGTTCGTGTACTTTTAATTTGGTAATTTGGGAAGAAGGGCGGTAAAATACCAAATTTGCCTCCGTGCTAAAAACTTCTAGATTCGGCACTGCTTGCCATTACACATAACAATATTACCCAGGCCAGGGAAAACCTTCATTGGACTAAACGCTGGCACAAGAAATAAATTACTACAGCAACAAAATCCAAGAGAAAAATACAAAAAATTGAACATCTCAAATCGTACAATAAAATTGAAATACCTATCGAATCAAATGCAGTTAAACAAATTAATCAAAATGAGATACAAGAGGCGATATAAACGCAAATGGAACATAAGATAAATCAATTTAGCACAAAAGCACATCAAACACATCGAAGGTTCAATTCTTCAAATCTTAGATAAACATGGGAAATATTAGAACCGCCCCCTCCCCCCTGCCATGATTTACCGCCTCATTTCGGACTTTTCATATTGCAAGAAGCGGATGACTAATTGACTATAGTTACATTCTCGTAGACGCAGACGAAGTGTCCAAGTATGAGGCCTAAGCTCTTGTGAGCATCTTTTCTCCTATCTAAATCCAAAATCCTGGTACTCAGACTATTCTCAAAAGTGCGGTTTGCTCGATAACACGTTCTGTCTCTACCGGTTGCCCTCTTATTGCATTTGCATTTGTCACGTGCGAACACAATATTTACAGTAGGTATGTATGATATGGAGGGTTTTATGAATGACATAAATGAATGAAACGTTAAATTTATTAAAAACGTGCAGTGAAAGAGTTTTGCGTTATTTTATTTGGTCACGAAGCAAACCTAGAATAGGTAATATGAGTAATAATAAAAATAATGTTGCTCAAACAATCTGATTAATTTGGAACATATTATCGCACGCGAGTGAAAGCTTTAATTTCGTTACAAACGCAAGGGTGATTTCCGTGTTTATTTTTATCCAACAATGTAACTATAAAGGTATAAGTAAGGTAGGGGTTAGACACTTGATTAAACCAACATTTCCTATGCAGATGTCAAATTAAGATTATTATTATAAATTTTAATTTTATTAAATTTTTGATTTCAGAACGAAGGAGGAGAGGCTATCAACAGGAAACTCTAATGCAGTTATACCAGTGGCGAAACTGATGTGGCCGTACCCTTTCGGGTCGGAAAACACCCAGTTAACCCCTCCCCCCAATTTAAAAATGATAAAATTTCTGGCGGGAATACACAAAAGTCCCCCAACACAATATCACTATCGCCCAAAAACAACTCAAAAGAGAAAGGAATCGCATCTAACATGCGTGTCTCAGTGATTAAATAATGACTGCCTGGCAGGCCAACTATGATCTCTACTTGTATTCTACGATTCAATATCGAATACGAAAACTCGTACACTACTCCAGATTGAACGCATTATGCACTAACTCTTGCTGAACGTGATCAAAAATCGATCATTAGTCGATCAGGTAAATCTAGTGAATGGCACACACAATCAGTCCTATTCTCGTGTATCTTGAAAACTTTTCAATATTGAAACCTTTTCAAGAAACTTTTCAAGTGACTTTTACAATATTGGAAATTATTTGTATTCTCGTGCTCACCTTGTAATCGTATGTTTACGTTTTACAAGATTGAAAAGTTAACAACCATGAAGTTGTAACACAGTGTAGCCAACCCACAAATGTGAATAATGTGTGCGCGTGCGTAAGTACAATTAATCAGCTGTTTGGTATAAATACCAGTTGATTTAAGACGTGGTGTTACGTGTAGTTGACAATGTTTTTAAAAAAAGCAAGGACATCGAAATCACAATATACTATTTATGTAGAGTACTTAGAAAAAAATTGTTTGTTAAGAACTGGAAAACTTTCTCCTAACTTGGGCCCAGAGGATCTTCATTCTTTGTGGCTGCAACTAGCAAAGGAGCTAAATGCATGTGGAGATGGACCCACTAGAGAAGTTGAAGGATGGAAGAAGGTATTTTACCTACTTTAATATACAATTGTTAATTATATTTTCTGACTACAGCTGTTCACTGAGTGGAAATCGCAAACTCGCAAGAAAGCACGGGAGAATAAAGCACTAAATGCTCTCGAAATAAGGTTATTAAAGGGCAACCGGCACAGTGGTAGTGCATGGGATTTCTACAGTACCTGAAATAGGGGTAAATGAAGTGCAAGAAGCGATTCATGCAGTTGAAAACGTAGAAATACAATATGTATATCATAATTCAGCTATTTTGTAAAGCACGTTGTTAACATTTACTTTCAGGTTGACGAAGTAATACAAGATGTAGATGGAGCGGTAGCCTCACTGGATGTTCCCATAGAACAGATACTCCCTACCCATAAGGACGCCTATATAAACGTTGTTCATTGCTTCAAATTGAATAATTTTAATGATTCAAAATAAATTAATACAACTATTACATTCAGTGGCGTAGCGTTTCAAAATAATAGGAGGGGCGGATCGAAGTCACTTGGGCCCCCTCCCCCCCCCCCCCCATCTCAATTTTTCTTTCGCGGTGTCGATTGGTCATGGTATCACAGAAAAGAACAAAAATAAACGACAAACAAAATGTAATTATGTATTTTTTTTAACCAAATTTTCAAATCTTAAATTGTTTTCGTCTTTTAAGTGATGCTAATTGCAGACTCACTGACACAGAGAGAATGTGAATTGAATCGGTTGCTGTGAGGAGCGGGGAGCAGGTTCTTCGCAGTTCTTGACAATTTCTACGACTACAGGCAAGGCAATAACAGTAGCGCTAGCGCTGTTGTTGTAGTGTGTAGGGGTATTGACCGTATCAGACGTTCACCGTTCACGAAAACTTGTCAAAACCATACTTACCTAGGTATAGGCTTGAATCATGAAATTCAATTCATTTTTTTTTATTTTTTATTACCTATTATACATTTACTACTTACATAGTAGGGGCGGATTGGGCCCCCTCAGCTTTCGAGCCCGGGGCGGACCGCCCCCCTCGGCCCCCCCTCGCTACGCCACTGATTACATTTGTTCCACATGTTGTAATACATCTATTAATAAAATAAATTCAGGATCATTCATATTGGAAACGAACCCTAACCTTTAAATTAACTTGAAAAATGGCTAGCAAGGATAATCCGTACTTGCTAAGATTTCAATATTAAGTTCTCAATATTGTAAACTTTTACAATGACATGTGTCACAAGAATACGAAACCGAGATCAAATTGGGAAACTTTTCAATTCTTGTTTACTTTTCAATATCGTAACTATTTCAAGATGCACCAGAATAACACCGAATGACGGTTAATAGTTATAATTACGATTAAATATTTATCCCCTTGCAGGGCCGGACTGGCTTAGGCCGCCAGGCCGCCCGAGCGGCTGGGGCCCCGCGCTAGCGGGGACCATGGATGGGGCCCTCTTTGGGTCAGTCAATGTTTGAAGCATTAATGTTTGTAAATGTTGAGCGTATTGTTAGTTTAAATTTGGAGAAGGATAAATTAATTGATAAATTTGCCAATACGTCATTGGAATTACAGCGCCTTCTCCTTTAATTTAATGTTCAATACTGTTCAGCAAGTTGTTTGAAAAACAATTAAAAAAGTCTGCAAATCCCTCGTCTTCTTTTTTTGGGATGGGGGGGGAGGTCCATAAGTTTGGAGGCCTTTTGGACATGGAGCGCCCGGGGCCCTTACCCACCCAGTCCGGCCCTGCCCTTAAGGGGTAGTTAACGGTACGTTTTCGAACAAAACAGAACAAGAGGAAAATATCCTCTGGCTAGTAAAAGGTCTCTGTTAAATCATTTTGTTCTAATTCTTATCTAATCCATCTGTCCAGTGAAATCGAGGATGGCTTACAAGATGGCCATTATCTCACTGAAAAGAGCGAACAGGTACGGCTCCTAATTACAATGGTATTCGCACGAGAACATTCTTGTAGTGGCTATCCTCTTGAGCTGAGATTGGTATTTTTCAGCATGAGCTACCCGGAAAAAACCCCTCTAAAATTGCCACGTAAAACACTCATCTCTAAATCCCAATCGCACCTATCTCTAATCCACGAGAGGGTGCGAAAATTAGTTTATTCTATTTTAGATTATAATCCTTTTTATAAGCACCCAAATGGGGGTATTAATTGGACTTTATGGCACAGAACTGTCAAAAATTGCCTAGCAACGATACTGTCACTCGCAAAACTTGCTGTATTCTTTTTCATATAGATCTTTGGATTTATGAGGAATCACTTTACTTTGTGCGATTTCGAATTCACGTAATATTTCGTCAGAATAAACGTTTTCCATTTCAGCTACACTCATTTCCAACAGCGAATTGTTTGATAAAAAGTAAACAGTCTCAGTATCCATAGCAACACAAAAAACGCCAACTATCTACACCACTCATATTTGGTTAGCGACAAATTCCTGTAAGAACTACTAATCCCTTTTAACTTTTTAGAAATTGTGCTAAAATAGATTAAAACGTTGTATGTACCACGGGCATAATCGATTATGGCCCTCGAGAAATTAAAAGCCCTCCTTCGTCGGGCTTTAAACATTCTCTCGTGCCATAATCTTTTGATTATGCCCTTAATACATAAATAACTATTATTAGTGGAAAAGGTTTGCGTCACGAGATGGGTTAAAGTAGTGGGAAGTTGGTTGTTCTGGGAGAACCGTCCGGCAACGCCCGCTGAACCGTGAGCGAAGTTGGGCCACCCACCTGTAAATTACCGTAGGATAGATTTTGTATTGTGCTCAAATTCACGTTGAGCGGCGAGCGCATGCAAGTCAACAATCTATATTTTACTGTGAGGTGTTTTAATTCGCACTTAGAAGTGAGGCAGGATTAAGTAAATTACCCGTAAAATTAGTGCAGGGTAGTCTTATGTATTGGTGTGATGGCCGAATCATAGAAAGTTTATTTTATTTTTTGAGAGGTGTCGTGATGATACGGTAGCGAAGTTGAATACGTGTAAAATAAACGCGTAAAGTTTTAAATTTTAATGGAAATGAACGATTTTGGATTGAATTTCATGTTATAATTCGTCGCATGTCTAACAGCCGATTGTGCACAAATAATATTTTTCTACAACTGTCAAAAAAACCTGTCATTTTCTGACGGATTTCGAAACGCGAAGTACTAGATTTTTAATCGGTTAATTAATAAGTAAGGTTGCTCTTGACAACGTGCGCGAAATCGTCAACAGTGAAAAAAAGTACTTCGCGCACGGGACAAAGTTGAACTTAAACAGAAATTTAATTAACAATCGGTTCAGTTGTAGAAAAAATATTGTATATAACGCTAGCGCGAAGTTATTTCGCGCATTTGACTTTGACAATGCGCGAAATTGAACTTCGCGCTCTTGTTATATAAATAACTATTGTATACGACATTGACATTTTTATATGACATTTCGGGTACAATCTCGCATCGATATTGAAAGTACAATTAGGGGCTCTCTTTGAGCGAAACCATGCTGAAACAGAGACTAGAGAAATCCGAGCCACATGCCATGGCATTTAATAAGTTAATTAGTGCCTGAGGGGCCTTGGTCAATTTGTAGTCAACTTCAGAATCGTATACGTTGCATGCACCACTGCTTCGTAAAAAAGGCACTATATACTTAATCGATTAGGCGTTCATTATCGATAATCCAACGATTTGAGTGACATTAATACTATACTACAGTTGCTACGAAAGGTGTTATAATTTCCTTTAAGGGGAACTATCTTAAATAATTACTGATTAATTGGCTGTACATGCTCTCCGCATTCATCGCATTCCTTACTTAAGACTCAAGCGTGGTTTAGAGGTTGGTTGTGTTTTCGTATCACTTCCTAACAAAATGTCCGCTACCTGGGTATACAGGTGGCTTGATAAGATACTGCGGTTGTAAACGTAATTTGAGGATTGCCACACCTTGGTACTGGAGCCATAAAAATTAACCACATATACTAACCGTTGTAAACCTTAAACCCACCTCTTCAAAAAATAAAAGGGCTACTCATAAGTCATAAACAATGAAATTACAGTAACGAAAGGATGCCGGAAGGAGATCGAAACTGCAAAGAAAACGTCCAAGTCTGGGCGAAAAAATTCACCTTTGTGTGTTTAGCTAGCGTCATTGGTGAATTGGTGATGTCATCACTTTATCTTTAATAAATCAATTGTTAATACCTACGTAAGCCATATTAATGGCGTATATGATGGATTAAACCACAAATGGCAAATCTTTGCTAATAATTTCGCTACCTTCGGTCAAATAAATAATCTTAGAATTCGAAGAATAAAATGTAAATGCTGTCTAATTAGTTATAGATTAAGGTACTTCCTTAACAGAAAACGTTCTTATCTTACCGAGACATCGATCTTCTAGAAGTGGGTATTATTTTTAAACCACAAACTAATGAATACATAATGAATTAGCACAAACCTGATCCATCTTAACGAGTGGTTACTTGAAGATATCAAAAACTTTACAACATAAATACTTTTAGAGGCAATTTGTTATGTAAATGACACATACTTCTAATTACGTGGGTTGTATAAACTTTATTACGCCTAATTACCGTTAAGGAAATAGATATTTTTTTGTTAGCGGAAGTACGGCGCGAATTAACATAAAGGGATTAGTCAAAAGAATGCAAACAGACAACACGAACACCCCCGTTTTTTCATTCCGTAGTCGATGCACGCGGAAAGGTGGTTATAATGGCGACGAGGCAACAATTATGGAGTGACGTCAGTCATTAATTATAACTTAACCTGTGGTTAGGTCTTAACAAGCTGTCACTGGTAGATTGTTAGCGCGTTATTTATGAGAATTTAAACGCGGACGCTTTAGTTCAATGTATAAATTAAGGTATGCGGAACACGTTTAGTTATATTATATGCTGGAATCTCACGTATGTAGGTGCCTATCTACCATGTTTTCCAATTGTCTCTTTCGTTATGATTATATATTAATTTAACTATGCCTCTCCTGTAGGAAAGAAAGCTTAATGTGAAAGAATGTTAATGGGTTTCGGTAGCTCGTCTAACAAATATCCAGCATTAATTGACGACATTTATGCACACTGTTAGATATTTGCCGTGTTCGCACACTTTAAAAAAATTTATCGCACGCATAAAAACTTCGAAATTAATTTCACAAATAGGTAAATATGTATTACCTGTTCATTATGAAGAAGTACACATGTTAAACAAAGAATTTGCCGTTTTTGAGCCGCTCGCACTCGAGCGGAAAATTTGTCATAAAAATTCTTGACATACCTACCTCCTTAAAATAGTTATCCCAAAAACAAGCATGTTGATAGATTTAGTGTGGCGTATTCGGCATCTATTTGAATGTAAAAACTTTAGGCGTATATCTTCACTAATCTCTCATTTTATTGTGGGTTGTCGACTAAACATATATCTACTACCTATTGGTGA